TCTGTGTCAGTAGTTCTCTCTGATTGGTCATTCTCTGTGTGTGTGTCAGTAGTTCTCTCTGATTGGTCATTTTCTCTGTGTCTGTAGTTCTCTCTGATTGGTCGTTCTCTCTCTGTGTGTCAGTAGTTCACTCTGATTGGTCGTTCTCTCTGTCTGCGTCAATAGTTCTCTCTGATTGGTCGTTTTCTCTGTCTGTGTCAATAGTTCTCTCTGATTGGTCGTTCTTTGTCTGTGTGTCAGCAGTTCTCTGATTGGTCGTTCTCTGTCTGTGTCAATAGTTCTCTCTGATTGGTCATTCTCTGTGTGTCAGTAGTTCTCTCTGATTGGTCGTTCTCTCTGTCTGTGTCAGTAGTTCTCTCTGATTGGTCATTCTCTGTGTGTGTCAGTAGTTCTCTCTGATTGGTCATTTTCTGTCTGTGTGTCAGTAGTTCTCTCTGATTGGTAGTTCTCTCTGTCTGTGTCAGTAGTTATCTCTGATTGGTCATTCTCTGTCTGTGTGTCAGAAGTTCACTCTGATTGGTCATTCTCTGTCTGTGTGTCAGTAGTTCTCTGATTGGTCATTCTCTGTCTGTGTCAGTAGTTCTCTGATTGGTCGTTCTCTCTGTGTCAGTAGTTCTCTCTGATTGGTTATTCTCTTTCTGTGTGTCAGTAGTTCACTCTGATTGGTCATTCTCTGTCTGTGTGTCAGTAGTTCACTCTGATTGGTCATTCTCTGTGTCAGTAGTTCACTCTGATTGGTCATTCTCTGTCTGTGTGTCAGTAGTTCACTCTGATTGGTCATTCTCTGTGTCAGTAGTTCACTCTGATTGGTCATTCTCTGTCTGTGTGTCAGTAGTTCACTCTGATTGGTCATTCTCTGTCTGTGTGTCAGTAGTTCACTCTGATTGGTCATTCTCTGTGTCAGTAGTTCACTCTGATTGGTCATTCTCTGTCTGTGTGTCAGTAGTTCTCTCTGTGTGTGTCAGTAGTTCTCTGATTGGTCATTCTCTCTCTGTGTCAGTAGTTCTCTCTCTGTCTGTGTCAGTAGTTCTCTGATTGGTTGTTCTCTGTCTGTGTCAGTAGTTATCTCTGATTGGTCGTTCTCTGTCTGTGTGTCAGTAGTTCTCTCTGTGTGTGTCAGTAGTTCTCTGATTGGTCATTCTCTCTCTGTGTCAGTAGTTCTCTCTCTGTCTGTGTCAGTAGTTCTCTGATTGGTTGTTCTCTGTCTGTGTCAGTAGTTATCTCTGATTGGTCGTTCTCTGTCTGTGTGTCAGTAGTTCTCTCTGTGTGTGTCAGTAGTTCTCTGATTGGTCATTCTCTCTCTGTGTGTGTAGTTCTCTCTCTGTCTGTGTCAGTAGTTCTCTGATTGGCCGTTTTCTCTGTCTGTGTCAGTAGTTCTCTGATTGGTTGTTCTCTGTCTGTGTCAGTAGTTATCTCTGATTGGTCGTTCTCTGTCTGTGTGTCAGTAGTTCTCTCTGTGTGTGTCAGTAGTTCTCTGATTGGTCATTCTCTCTCTGTGTGTCAGTAGTTCTCTCTCTGTGCGTCAGTAGTTCTCTCTGTGTCAGTAGTTCTCTCTGATTGGCCGTTTTCTCTGTGTCTGTAGTTCTCTCTGATTGGTTGTTCTCCGTCTGTGTCAGTAGTTCTCTCTGATTGGTCATTCTCTGTGTGTGTGTCAGTAGTTCTCTCTGATTGGTCGTTCTCTCTCTGTGTGTCAGTAGTTCTCTCTGATTGGTCGTTCTCTCTGTCTGTGTCAGTAGTTCTCTCTGATTGGTCATTCTCTGTGTGTGTCAGTAGTTCTCTCTGATTGGTCGTTTTTTGTCTCTCTGTGTCAGTAGTTCTCTCTGATTGGTCGTTCTCTCTGTGTGTCAGTAGTTCTCTCTGATTGGTTGTTCTCTCTCTGTGTGTCAGTAGTTCTCTCTGATTGGTC